AAACAGACCACGCTTTTTATGAACAGTTCAATGTTCATTCGATAATTATTCGATTCGATTCGGTAACAAACTGTTCGCGAACAGTTCGATGTTCGTTTTATAATATGTTTAATTCGAGTTCAAATATAGGATGTTTATTTGATTATGTTCGTGAACATACTGCGTTCGACTGATCCATCCGTTCGCGAATAATCTGTTCCATTATTTGTTCGTTTATGTTCAAAAAGCATGATATACATTATTACATTTTACATTTTTTTTCTTTTTTATATTATGTTTGGTTTAGTTTGGATGAACTTTTGTTTTTCTTATATATATAATATGTTTGGATTTTTTTTTTTCAAATGTCATCAATAATTAAATATATAAGTATATAGCTTTTTAATTAAAAAATAATAAATTATTATGATACATAGTATGACAAATTTAATAACATAATAGATTGTATAATCAAGTGATATATAATATAGCAAATCTAATAACATAATAGCTTCATTTTTTTTCTAAATGTAATCAATAATTAAATATTATGAGATAGCATTTCAATGGTAAATTGATGAACATAACATATTGTATAATCAATTGATGTATAGCATGACAATTTTAATAACATAATAGCTTAATTAAACATAGTATGGTAAATTGATGAACATAATATATTGTATAATCAAGTGATACATAACATGACAAATTTAATAATATAATAGCTTAATTAAATATAATATGGCAAATTGATGAACATAACATATTGTATAATTAAGTGATACATAACATGATAAATTTAATAATATAATAGCTTAATTAAACCTAAATTAATCACACATTTGTATTGATTATATATTACAATAGACTCTCATACCACTATGAATTTATGGGTGTTGAAATATATATGTAAACAGTAATGATAATAAATATATATATATATAACAAATTAATCACACATATGTATTTTATCATATATTACAATAGACCCTGGTACCACTATGAATTTATGGGTATTGATACAAAATATATATGTAGACAGTAATGATAATATATATATATATATATATATGATAATATATATCATATATATATATATATATGATAACTTATCATTTTGATAATTTAATAACATATTAAACATATTTAATCTATGATTAATATACGTATGATATACACAATTACATATTATATAATAAAACCTCTCTATAGTAATAATACTCTATATAGGAATAACCTCCATGTAGTCATAAAAACTTTTGGTCCCAACTTGGACCAGTTATAAATGAGAATAAATTTTACATTGTAATAAGTTATAATTTTTCTAGGTCTTGTCTTAAGGAATTTGCCTTTACATAGTGATAATTATATGTGAGGTTATAACTTATTAGAAGTGTAGTTACAAAAATTATTATTTTGATTAAAAAAATATTGTTTTGATTTTTGATTTTATAATTCATGTTTCAATAGTACAAATGAATTGAGTGAATAGATTTGACAACTTCACTACATTAATGAAATGGCTATTAATGTCTTTTTCAATCATTTAAATGAGTAACAAGCCGTGTATGTTTTAACTGAAGAAGAAATCATTATTAAAATTAGACAAGAAGAGAAAGGAGATAATCTTGAGGATGATAACGAAAATACCAAAAGTTTCGTGCAAGAAACTTTAAACCTACTTGAGAAGCTAGAAATATTTTGGCTTCAACAAGAAGGTGTCCATGCTAGCGACTTATTATGTACCCACAAGATAAAAGTTGTGGAAACAACGCTAAAACATAAATCACTCTTTCAAACAATTTTAGGTGAATATTTTATTTCATCTTAAACATTTAATGTAACATAGCATATGCTTTTTTGCAATATACATATAATTATTACTATGTAGAGGCAAATTCCTTAATATGGGACCCAGAAAAATTATAACTTATTACAATGTGAAATTTATTCTTATTTCTAACTGACCCAAATTAGGATTAGAATTTTTTATTCTTATTTATTCCTATATAGAGTATTACTATAGAAAGGTTTTACTATTATATATAATTGTTTCATATTATTAATTGATCAAATTCAAATATGGTTATAATAATCTAATTGTGGAAACATTGAGTGAAACCATATACAAATGAGTAATAATAGAAAAAATTGTCTATATTAAATATAATAAGCTAAATATGCATATATAAATTACTTGATATATATGTAAATGACTAAATGTTACTATATATGTTATATTATTGATAGATAATAAAATATTTTTTGTTCAAATAACTTGTAAATGTTAATAACATAAATACATAATTTATATGTAATAAGTCATTTAAATTAATTAATAATAAATTATGGCAATGACATTACNACACACAGAATCCTTCCAGTTTTGCCTGTGATGGGGGGTTAACTTTGTGAATATCCAAATTGATCAGTTAACTACATCAACGGGGACAAGGCTATTGTTTTGTTGTCCACTAGCAGCATGCACTGGATATAAATTTACACAGAAAGGAACAAGTTGTTCACACAAGAAACCTATTGAGTCCAATACTAAAACCCAAGCGTAATTAAAGGTGTTGTCCACTTCAACTAACTGCTGCCCCATATTTAGACAAATAAAGAAATGCATTTCTCCAAACTCTATTGGCATAGAAGCACCACATCCTCACCTATGCAATCGTAAAAATCTCTGCCCCTCTAATCACCCCAAAGGTGGTTCCTGAAGCCTACAAGCCAACAATCTCCTGACACAAGCTTTACAATCTCACATATGATTGAATGGTGTAAATGAGGTAAAGCCTATGGCCTTTGACATTGCACCTCGGGGCATGTCATAAGAGCCATTTATGTTGGAAAAGAGACCTTGTTGCATCTTGCTAAGAACCCTTCCACTACCATGACACTTCAGCGATTTGAACACATGACTCCAGGCTCCTCTGCCACTATGTAGGAGAGAGTCTTATCATAGAACAAGTGAATATCCTGTAGCTTTCTGATAGGAACCCACTCCAATAACTCAACAATTTGGGCTAGGCCATGGATCTTTCATGGGCTTGGGTAGAACTCTCCTTGGAAAACCGGCTTGTCAAGGGAGGGTGCCCAAGCCTTTATAACCCACATGCCCACCCTTTTCCCTTTCAATGTGGGATCCTAACATTCCACCACGCTTCCGCAACCGACGTCCACGTCGGCCTCTTTACCCCTTGGGTGACTACGCGGATCCCCTTTCCCTCGGGCCTCCATGCCCTTTCTCGGGGTAACAGCCCGGGCCCAAGGTCAGCCACTCTAATAACTCAACAATTGGGCTGGGTCATGGGTTTTTCATGGGCTTGGGTAGGACTTTCCTTGGAAAACCGGCTTGTCAAAGGAGGGTGCCCAAACCTTTATAACCCACATGCCCACCCTTTTTCCTTTCAATGTGGGATCCTAACACTTTCTCATTTCTCCCAAAGGCCACGGTGTCTCTCAAGCAAAACCAAAATAAACTATGTCAAGAAAACACTTTGAACCAAAATCTTAAGTTATTTGATGAGGACCAAACATCAATTTTCAGGCGTACCACGCTCTCTCACAAATAACTTGGACCCAATTTTAATGTCAAATATGCCCTCTTATGTGTAACATGGATTCGATTGTAAGGTCTAATAGATGTAGTGAGATTACCAAGCTAAACTGAGATAACTGAAACAAAGATCAACCTGATTTGATTGAGTGAAAGACATATACATAAGGGATTCAAAACACAAGGCTTTTAGCTTTAATACTATTAAGTATCACTTACTCAAAAGTTTAAGCTAATAGATAAAGCCCCAAAAATATAATTTAAACTATAACATTGTAACAACAAAAATTTGGTTTGTTTGCATTGCTTNATATATATATATAATCTCACTTATTTAATTTTAATATCAAATTAAATATAGGCAAAACCTCAGCAAATTTAATTGCATCGTGAGATTACCAAAATACCCTTTCGCTCAAAAAGACGAAAATGCCCCTTGCACAAACTGATTCTTAAATTATCTTCTATGTATGTGACCCGTATGCTCCTCATCATACCGGCAGTGTGTAGTATCGTGATTAACACCAATTAATCGTCTCACTACACACAGACCAAGATTGGTCCCTAACAAGGCATCATGGTCACTCGATATATTCGGATTCAGCGAAGCAGCTACCTGTCAACGATATGATTACTGTACAATCAAATCCTTTCATCATCTGTTATCTCATCGAGACTGAGGTACATAAATAGTGTCAACCTCTGTTACTCTCAATATGTATGTATTCAGTTATTAAACCAATGGCCGAAATAATAACTTAGATTGAGCATGCAACTCAATCCCACTATAACCACAGTTTTAGCGTCACTGCCATTTATTGAATTACGCCATGAGATAACTTCTCCCGTACCCAGGAGTGATGAATCCTTTGTCGATCCACCATAGTCTTGATACACTCCTTGATGCAGCTAATCACTACCGTATTGACGGCTCTAAATAGAACTACGTTGGGCTAGTGTCAAACTACACCAATCGGTGCACAAAGCGCTCTAGTGATCTCAAGTCTAAAGATCACATGCACCACCATTTGTTAGAGGATTTATTCCACAGACATTGGGGTTACCATCTATATGGAATCCTCTGGTGAATCAGTTCAGTGAACTTGCCTACAATAAGCACCCATGTGTTGCACCAGGTTGTCACTCAACAACCTTGACAAGTGAGATCTGCCACTACCTTTCGACATGGTCATTCAACACTATGATAACCTTACCATATTATCTGTGTCCTTGGTCAAAATAATACTAGGGCTATGGACTTTTCTAGAATGACCACCAAATGCATCACTACTCCTAGGTTCTCGGTGGTCATCAATAGGGAGCTGGTGGGTTTCTTTGGGAGCTCTAGAGGGCTGAGACAAGGGGATCCGTTATCCCCTTACTTGTTTGTTATTGCTATGGAGGTTCTCTCGAGGCTCTTGNACGTGTGAAAACTAACTAATTTAACATAATTTACCCATGGTTGAAGCTATCATTGAAGAAAGGAGACCTAAAACACAGGAGAAAGGTAGTGAGATGGCAAGAGCACGAGGGCCCAGCTGAGATACCTGCTCAAATTGAAATCCAAAGGGCCAGCATAAAGAAAATTAAATTGAAACAGGTTAGAACATAAAACAAAAAAAGAAAAAGACGATACCAATACAAGCAAAACAAAACATGAGACACAAAAATGGCAATCTATCAAAGTGAAATACTCTTAAAAAGGCAATTATGTTCTCTTAACTTGTTGAGCTTCTAAAGAAACAAAATATGATAGAATTATGTTCAATCACAATTTTTAACTTTCAAATTTGAGAAAATTCAACGTAATGATTCCTCAAACAAAGGCTTTTATAGTCTGGCCAAAGGCATCTATTGAAGGTGATTCATCAGTAAAGTTTAGTATGCACAAGGTAAAGAAGGTAGAGTTGAGGCCTCAGTCTCAAAATATTGCAAGATAATTTGGTCAATTTTTTTCATACATCTAAACTAGGAACAATTTTGGTTAATCTAGTGTAATTTTGTATTGGCTTTTGTTTTTCTATTCAAATGAGGCCCCCAAATTGGTACAGTACATTTTGTATCGGTTTTAGTTTTTCAATTTAAAGATCACTTCATCATTCCTTGAGTATGCCTCTAGTTTGTTCACTCTTATAGATCTCATTTCAAGTACTAAAATGTCTTCTTTGTTTCTAGTAAGAAACATATAATTCTATATTGTCTATATGTATATATTTATGTATTAATTTAGGATACCTTTACAAGTTATGTATAAACTAATGATCTAAAGGATCCAATAGATAATAAATTCACCAAAAAGTGTATGAAGTGCAGGGCAGGATGGACTTGGCCTATCCACAGCATGTTCCATGCATTAAGTTAGGAAATGGATTTACAAGCGATGGATAAACTAATGATCTAAAGGACCTGATAGATGATAAATTCACCAAGTGTATGAACTACATGGCATGAAACTTCAATAACCAGTAGGATGAACTTGGCCCATCAACAGCATGTTCCATGAGAGACAAGCAAGTTATTTATAGTTTAGCAAGCAAAGTTATTGATAGGTTAGCATGCAAAGTTATATAATGGTCAAGGACATATAAACGAAAGGTATATACCAGAAGCTGCTCCAGAAAGCAGAAATACGCAAGCATGCTGACCAAGACAAGAACTGGTATGTCCTGCCAGACCCTGGCAAGAATACAATAATTAAAACACCTTTCTGAAACACAAAATAAATTAACATAAACGACCATCCAATATAGTTGCAAGCAACCGAGCTTTTAAAACTAAGACAATATGGAATTACACAAGCTTTGGAAATATTAGGCTCTTTGAATAAAAATAAAATAATAAAAAACAAAACGTTTTTTTATCATTTGATTGTTAAGAAAAAAGAAAAAAAATATGGAATTTCAACATGAGCTGAACCATAGTTGATGGCAGTTCTAAATGGAGAATTAAAAATCTTTTTGAAAGGAGCCTTTTAGCTACATATATTGCGCGAAACAGAAATGCATAATAATAAGGAAAATAGGAAGCATAAGAGTGGGTAAGATGTTTATAGAATATGCAAGAACAACTTTGGAGGGGGACAAACTCCAAACTAATCCTACATTCCCTCCCCAATTGCCATAATTCCATCAAAATGATAAATCTTAATATTCGTTAGAAAAAATTACCAACAGAGAATAAAAAGTCAAATCTTATCCCATAAACAACTGACTTCTTCCCCTCAATTATCACCAAACATGCAACTATTAAAAGTAAAACTTAGACATCAGGCAAACTAGAAACCCTCAAAGATGGGAAAACCCAAGCAAAATGCATTCATCGGTTTAACCAAGCTCATGTGGACCATACTTGGATCCTACTCCAAGATGGAAATCTAAAACTCAAGGAGAACGACCAATTAAGAACCACAAGACCTAACTCATCCCTCTTTTGAAACATATGTACGTCGCACTATATCCCTAGTTGGAGCTTCCATAGATTCTACTTCATTGAGTAATGAGGCTTTCTTATAATGTGAAACTTATGAAATTGTGTATAGTGTGCAAATTGAAATATATCATGTAGATGAGAACACTGTAAACAAAAGTTTAACAGGCATCTCAGCTTCTTTGATTAGATTCTTTTCAGCAAAATAGCAAATAATACATATCTTCAAGAATATTGTTTGGAATCATCTAAATGAAAAGGAAAGATTTTTCTTTTTCATTTTTTGAAATTAATAACAGAGAAAACAACCTCAACATTTCTTCTGCAGTTGATAGCACCAAGCACAGGCACCTATTAATTGACTAAAACATGATGCTGCAAAACCAGGATGTACTCTTGTGATCTATGGGTTATATTTTATATAATTTCCCTATATAATTTTTATTATTCTTGCTTCCCAAAATCAATAACAATCAAGTACACCAAATGATTGATTATAACAAACCTGAGCACACAAGGACCAATTATAGAAGCATTTAGCTAACTGCCGAAATAATCAGACATGCCTGTAACGAGTGACTTCTCTCTGCTGAATAACAGATGATGGCCGCCTGACAACATTTTGAGGATTTTGTATTTTTAATAATGTCACTGGTAGGTTCTGGACATCCTGCTTGCAGACATCACATGTCTTGTTTCCCTTGATGCTAAACCACTTCACTACACAATCTTTGTGAGCAAGTGCAAGCTCCCCTTTACAGCTACACTCCATCTTAAACATGTCACCTCCTTCCCCAAGCTCAACAAAACAAATTCTGCAAACTGCTTCTTCTTCAGAAATATCTTCACCTGCATCTTCACAAGCTGAAACAAGTATGTCATAAAACAGCAAATCAACTATTTATTTTAACAAGATTACTCACAAAACAAGAAATAAAAATAATACAGGAAGGTGAACTAAGAAGACATCACAATTTTTTGGCAAACAGAAACACCACAATCCCCCAGCCCAAACAAGTGAAAGTTGCAAGCAGTGAAATCTTAAGCTGTGCACATAGTGGAAAGAAGAAAAATGTCCAAAATCTTAATAAGTTTAAGTCCATTAACAAAAATGTAAAATCCACAAACTTGAACTTTAAACATGTTTACTTTAAATTTGGACCTCAACTTGAAGTAATTATAATTCTTTTAATTTCTTTTCTCTTGTAAGGAATTCAGGTAGGACAAGCAGAATTATATGTCCAAGTCAAATTGTTTGCACCCTTTGGGAATAAACACACCCCACTTTTATCAATGTAATGATAATTCTTCAAACAGGTATGAAGTTCAGGTGCCATCAAGTCTATTGAGATAATGTGAAGTTTTTTCCTCAAAAATAAAAACTTTGCTCCAATGCCAAATTGATGAAAACTAAATTTAAGTTAATGAAAAACCATAAATAAAGAGATAGAGATGCAAATTTCTGAATAAAAACTATCAGTTCCCTCATTTGGCAGGAGAGTATTGTAGTTCCACCCTAACAACTTAGTTTAATGTGGAAAAATTGCATCAAGTGAAACCTATGAAGCTACGTTGTACAGAATACAATACCATAAGTAAAACTCACAATTGAATTAATTATGGAAAGTAGGGTAGAGACCATCATGACCCTCCAGTCAGGACTTGGAGTCTACAATATTACTGGTAAATATGTTTTTCTCCCTTCAAAGTTGTACACTTAAAATCCTATGAAGGAAAACTTAGCATTTACCGGTTTCAGTTGCTGAGTCATCATTCACTGATGTCTTCTCAGCAGCCGCAGAATGAGGAGTCATAGAAATTACACGAATTAAACCTCCACCAGATTCAGTCCGCCTTAAACTTCTCACTTTAGTATTCACCGGAACTGACAATGAGCGTGTCATATGCTGCCGAACTACTGATTTCTAAAACAAAAAAACATAATATCATGTCATTCAAAAATTAAAATAAAACACGTCTCCATCCAAAATAGGCAAAGGTACTTACAGAAATATCAGATTGAACAGCAAGACGTGGTTCCTGTACAGATTCTGACTTTGCAATTGGTGTAGCCGGTAAAGAATGTGCTGCTTTACTTGATGAAGAGAAAAAAACCTTACTAAGAGAAAATGACGTCGATGTAGAAGGCTTATCAACTGATGATGGTGAATCCGGGATGATGAGAACCGTCTTCTCACCATGATGAGAACCGTCTTCTCACCATCTTGAAACAAATTTTTTGTTCTAAAGTTCCTCTGAGGAAGCAAATTCCTCACAGATGATTTGAGCTTTGCTGAACTAGGTCTAGGGGGTAGGGCAGCTCTAGAAGAACTAGGACTTGACACCGAAGAAGAAATGTCTACTTTTGGAAATTCACCAAACGAACCATCCAAAGACCTCATAGGAATTTGCAACGTTGAGAGTTTCGGTCGTTTAGATTGCTGAACTAAAACTAAGCAAGATTCTTCATTCTTTTTTTTTTCATCAATACACACCTTCAATGCCATTGAAAAACCTTTTTAGTCTTATTATTAAACTCTACCAAACCCAAAATGCGAAATAAAATAAAATAAAAAAAAAAAAAAAAAAAAAAAAAAAAGGAGAACAAATTTCATACAAATAACAATTACAAATACCAAATGGATCAGAGAAATGAAAGAATTACCTGGGTGTGATGGTAATCATCGGAGGTTGATTCCGCATTCTGTTGTTGATCTGAACTACTCTCCATCAAATCAGGGAACAGAAAATGAAAAAGAAAAACCTAATTTTGAAATTTGGAGAGTTTAATATATGTTGATAATCCTGTGTTTTGCTCTCCAGATTTGATTCGATTTGAAGTAACAGTAACGGTAATGATGGATTCCATGCCATCAAAGTCTCGACCATTCACCCATTTTTAAATTGAATTGTCTTTTTCTACTTTACTTTTTCATTTTTATTTGTAATCACCCGCCAATCCAATAATATTTATTTTTGTTTGTCCTTTAATTAATGGATTATTAACTCACCTTTCCCTGAATTATAAGGAATTACAGCCACCTCCCTTTAGCCTGACATATTTGAAAGCAACAACAACCCTCTAGATTTTTCAATTATTACATACACGTGTCAAGTATGGGACTTAAAATTCATATATACTTGTTCTAAAATTATTTTGTCATAACATCATGATAAATTATAAACCTCTTGTTATGTCTAGAGGCATTTTCATTAGACATACAAATAGGGCTGCAAACACACCACGCTGTTTATGAACAGTTCGATGTTTATTCGATAATTATTTGATTCGACTCAGTAACAAACTGTTCGCGAACAGTTCGATATTCGTTCGATAATATGTTCAATTCGAGTTCGAACATAAGATGTTCATTTGCTTATGTTCGTGAACATACTGCGTTCGACTGATCCATCCGTTCGTAAACAATCTGTTCGATTATCGTTCGTTTATGTTCAAAAAACATGATATACATTATTATATATATTTATATTTTTTTTCTTTTTTATATTATGTTTGGTTTAGTTTGGATGAACTTTTGTTTTTCTTATATATATAATATGTTTGGATTTTTTTTTTCAAATGTCATCAATAATTAAATATATAAGTATATAGCTTTTTAATTAAAAAATAATAAATTATTATGATACATAACATGATAAATTTAATAACATAATAGATTGTATAATCAATTGATATAACATAACAAATCTAATAACATAATAGCTTCATTTTTTTCTAAATGTAATCAATAATTAAATATTATGAGATAGCATTTCAATTAATAAATAATAAATACAGTATAGTAAATTGATGAACATAACATATTGTATAATCAAGTAATGTATAGCATGACAAATTTAATATCATAATAGCTTAATTAAATATAGTATGGTAAATTGATGAACATAAGATATTGTATAATCAAGTGATATATAGCATGACAAATTTAATAATATAATAGTTTAATTAAATATAGTATGACAAATTTATGAACATAACATATTGTATAATCAAGTGATATATAGCATGACAAATTTAATAACATAATAGCTTAATTAAACTTAAATTAATCACACATTTGTATTGATTATATATTACAATAAACTCTCATGCCACTATGAATTTATGAGTGTTGATACATAATATATATGTAGACAGTAATGATAATATATATATATATATATAATCTAAAATTTTGATAATTTAAGAACATATTAAAATTTGTATAATATGAAGATTGAATTGCCTTATCCCTAATCTCTGCCTACGTTCTTATTCCCTTGTTTCTAATTCATTGTCATCTTCTGTCTAGTAAAACTTTTAGACTATATTACTCAGATTTAATGAGGTAGACTTGTTTCCTTACAAAAAGACCTTTGAACCCTTAATTTTTTTTTTCTTCAATAAAATCTTCTCAGTTCCTACGCACAGAATCCTTCAGTTTTGCTTGATGGGGGGTTAACTTTGTAATATCCAAATTGATCAGTTAACTACATCAACAGGGAAAGGCTATTGTTTGTGTGTCCACTAGCAGCATGCACCGGATATAAATTAACACGAAAGGAACAAGTTGTTCACACAAAAACCTATTGAGTCCAATACTAAAAAACCAAGCGTAATTAAAGGTGTTGTCCACTTCAACTAATGCTGCCAATTTAGACAAATAAAGAAAGCATTCTCCAAACTCTATGGCACAGAAGCACCACATCCTCACCTATGCAATCGTAAAATCTCTCCCCTTAATCAACCCAAAGGTGGTTCCTGCAGCCTACAAGCCACAATCTCCCCTGACACAAGCTTTACAATCTCACATAAGACTGAATGTTAAATGAGGAAGGTAAAGCCTATGGCCTTTGACAGCACCAGGGCATGTCATAAGAGCCATTTATGTTGGACAAAGCGACTTGTTGCACTCTGCTAAGAACCCTTCCATACCATGAACTTCAGTGATTTGAACCCATGACTCCAGCTCCTCTGCCATATGTAGGAGAGAGTGTTATCATAGAACAAGTGAATATCTGTTGCTTTCTTATTCTCACAAAGGCCATGGGGTCTCTCAAGCAAAACCAAAATAAACTATGTCAAGAAAACACTTTGAACCAAAATCTTAAGTTATTTGATACGGACCAAACATCAATTTTCAGGTGTACCCGCTCTCTCACAATAACTTGGACCCAATTTAATGTCAAATTGCCCTCTCAAAAGGATTCGATTGTAAGGTCTAATAGATGTAGTGAGATTACCAAGCTAAACTGAGAAACTGAAACAAAGATCACCTGATTTGATTTGAGTGAAAGACATATACATAGGGATTCAAAACACAGGCTTTTAGCTTTAATACTATTAAGTATCACTTACTCAAAAGTTTAAGCTAATAGATAAAGCCCCAAAAATTAATTTAAACTAAACTTGTAACAACAAAAATTTGGTTTGTTGCATTGTTCAGGTAGGTTCAGAATCTAATATGATGTTCTACTCCATTCATGGCATTTCCCGGAAGCAGGCAATTTAGGCCTCATTTGCATCATCTATAGTATTGTTGAATTGATTAAGCTATAAGAAATTTTCCAACCCTATGCATAAACAATAATACTCATTGGAATGAATCATTTTTAGTGGGAAAGAAAATGAATCAAAACCAAGAAATACTGTTTTCAAATTAGTTATATTTTTGCTAAGATTGATGTTAATATGTTTAGTACCTATTTGATAAAAAATTTATATTCATGATGGCTTTCTTAAAGAAAGACTTATTTTCTAACAATCTTCCTTCACTGTCCTTTGCACATTGTTGCAAGGACACAATTGTTTTCACACAACTGGTGAAATCCTTAGCAGTTGAGTTAACTTTATCCTTAATTTT